ATGTTTCTATTTTTATGGACAAAAATTGCCAACAGTTTACTTAAATTACGCCCGATTGCTTTAATTTTATTTAATTTGCTCGACCGTTAAGCATTGTTGTGCATCGATCGAGCAGTATCGCGTCTATTGATAATATTAATACAGTTGGGAATAAAATTAAAATTGATAAGTTGGAATTTTAAACGTTTGTTGTATATAACGAGAGGTCGAGAGTTATTAATGCTGATTGTAATCGAATAATTACGTGCTAAAAGTAACGAGAGGCTCGATGCTTAGGAAAAGTGCGTGGTAGTTGCGCGTTTGGAAAAAATGACGATGGCTAAAGCCTCCGGGGGAATTATTTGCTCGCGTATCGGAAACTTTACGGTCACTCGTATGAAGCGAAGGAAGCGTTGACTCCCAGGATCTTGGCCGAAGGATGTCGAGCGAAGGACGAATACGCGGTGACGAAATCGCGACGATTTTATCATAGACGTGTGCACGCGCACCTCGGCGGACCCTTCAATTGTTATCCATGATTCCGTCCCTTCTTGGACTTTACCAACTGTTATTGTACTTGTAATGGGAGAGATTACGCGTAAGAGAATTATCGGAATGATTGTGACGATCCCGTTACGTAGTTTACCGGATGCTGGCCGCAACGGAGGAAGTAGGTGCGCCAATTTCGAAACAACGACCGAAGCGACTTAGCGCATACTCGTCGCGTGCTATTTCTTATTTTTCACGAAACTTTGTCAATAATAGCCGTACTATTGGAAAATTTTTCCGGAGACTCGTTGCTCAACTCGTTACGTGAAATCTTTTTAAAAATGCCAACGTCACGCTAAACCGAATAATCGAATGTTTATTATTCTTTAATCTGCATTATAAAACTATTTTATATCGTTCCCATTTCAACTGCTCTCCGGCGAAAAATGAATTATTTTAAAGACAATAATCGTCATCGTCATTATCGTCAACACCGTCATCATCGTCATCATAATCATCATAATAATAATAATAATAATAATAATCATTATCAGCATCATCGTCATAAAATCATCATTATGATTCCTTATTTTTATCGCTGTTGGTATTTTTTATTATTATTATTACTAGTGCTAGTATTGTTATTATTTTTTATTATTTTTTATTGTTGTTTTTGTTGTTGTTGTTGTTTGTTTATGTTGTAATGAATATTGTTTCTGCTGCGGTTGCTGCTGGTGTTGTTCTTGTTGTTGCTGCTGCTGCTGCTACTACTATTATTATTATTACTACTACTACTACTAACTACTGCTATTACCATTGCTACTGTTACTATTACAAGAGCTTTATGATAATGGGACATTGTCAAAATTGAAAAGGGAAATTGTAAGAGGAAAATAATTTTCACGACTCTGCAAGAAATGGCAGAATCTGCTCACTGTTAAATAAGGAGATTATGCCAATAAGGTTTTTTTTTTTTTTTTTTTGATAAGGTGTAATAAAGAATTTGTATACTTGCGTATATAGATATAAATCGTTGGGACAACGGCAAAGTAATTATTTCTTTCTTAGGAAACATTATCTTTTCGTTCCGAATGGAGCACAAACCTTGTTAGCACTACATTCGTTAACTCGCAATTTCCAGGAAGGAGAAAATTCAAGATACTATACTACAATAGAGTATCTCGTAAAACAAAGGTGCAAACGTTGGCTCGACAACTAAAGAAAGATATATTATAAATGTATCGTGGGAATGTAGCACAAACACAGGGACGCGCGTACGTTGACGTAGTGTACGAGGCTGAAGAGACGACGCGGATGAGCAGCGCACATTAGCTTAAAACGCCCAATTGATGAGGGGATCGAGAGAATGCGGAAGCTGGCCAAAGTTAATCGCTAGTACTGAGGAGCAAGAGGGAGATCGGATTAAGATTAAGATCGGAATGGAGGAAATGGCGAGTGAGAGAGGGGAGGATAGAGTATCGCGGGGAGGTATAATCGGGAGATATTCGATTGTTCGGAAAGTCGGGAAGTCGGAATTGGAACTCGGGAGATATGGAAACGATCACGGAGATGTCTGTCACTGATAGTCAACGCGCAATATGGGACTTTTCATTCATAAATCACCGGCACAACGTCGACGATTTCTTACGGACGAGCGAGCGTGATCCCGTGACGTCATAGCGTCACGGCGCTGGGCGTCGGACTGGCTTGCAGACGACTCAGGCTCTGCCAGCTACCCTCGTCTCTCGTATTCTCTTTTCTCTCTCTCTCTCTCTCTAGGGCAGCGAGAAAAAGAAAGATGTGTTCGTTGCTGCTTCTGCAGCTCTCTCTCTCTCTCTCTCTCTCCCTCTCTCCCTCTCTCCCTCACTCTCTCTCTCTCCCTCTCTCCCGCACTCTCTCTCTCTATCTCTCTATCTCTCTATCTCTCTATCTCTCTTTCTCTCTATCTCTCTATCTCTCTTTCTCTCACTCGCTCGTCTTATTCGTCGCATGCGCAGAGAAGTGAGTGCGTGCGGCGCGACTGTGCGAGAATCACCGCCGCGCCGCGTCGTCGCCACACTCAGCGATACAACCCCATGCGGCCTGATTATCAAGCAACTCTCGGCGATAGTCGACTCGTTAATGAGGTAATCGAGCTCGCTCGACATTTTCCTATTAACCCATTACTTATTCCATCGTTCCTTTCTTTTTTTACTCACGACCATTTGATGTCGATGCGGCCGCAATTGATGTGCTCGTGCTCGTGCTCGAGCCGAGGCTTCACGATTAATTTTTTTTAGCGCTCCGTCAATTATTCGTCTCCATTGTAAATGCATATATACGCTTAAATAATGCTCCAGGATTTTTAAGACTAATAATGTAAAATACCGGGGAAATAGAATAGACTTCACTAATTGCTTAATGAAGCTTAGCGAGCTGTAATTGAGTAATTTCCCGCGATTTGTTAAATGCTAAAGGTATTCGAAATTGAGGTGAAAGGTATTGGGAATTAATGTCAATCATGAGTAATTGATATTTCTATTATATCTATTTAAGGATATTCAATATATTCAATAATAAAGCCATAATGATCGGTCATAGATCGGTGAGTAAATGTAGTCAAAAAAAAAAAAATATATATATATATGTGTGTGTGTGTATAAATTAAATTTCCATTCGAGACTTTGTATAGTCCTATTAAATATTTGTATGAAATGGCTCTTGCAATACGTTATACAATTTTCTGCTTTATTCTTTTTCTCACTACGAATACATTTTATACAAATATATTTATAATTGAAATATACTCCAACTGCAACGATAAGAAAAATAACTGGAATAACTGAGGGATATAAAAGTATGTAATAGAGTTATACTAGAATCAATTTATTTTGTTCTATATTAAAAAGGAATTTTTCATAAAAATGTTGGTTTACTTTATACTTGTAAAAATATCGAAAACTTTTCAAACTTATGCGAATCTTACGGTTCGCATAATCCATGTTTGTTTAAAATTTTAAGAAATTTTATAGCATGAATCGACCTTCGAATCAAGGAACTAAACTAGAAAGCTACATTGCGTGTAAAATTGTTGACGGAATCATAGATGAAATATTACAAACATTTATGATTGTCATGTAAACAACATTTATGTAAACATTTAAATTTCATCGATATTGCAATTCACCTTGTTTGTTTCACTCATAATATACATCCTGACAAATATCTATGAATAATCCGCTTCTTTCAATTACTTCTTGAAATATATTTTTTCATGATATGACAAAGTATAATAG